AGACCTAAACCTACAAGTTTTCTTGAAGAAGCACGATTTTCAAGCAAGTAAACAGAATTATAAGTTTTATTAATAACTTACGGATACAAATATGTGAATTTTTTGTCCACTACAACAGCATTGGCCTTAAATAGACCATCAAATAAATAGCCATTCCCAACATAATGCCTGCCTTAGTAAGTACAAACCTATCATACATCATTTTAAATCCTTTCTTACTAAAAATAGCTCCTGAAACCAAATTCTTTCTGATATCTGGGACATGTACAATTTCATTCAGCGTCAGTTCTTTCCCCAATGTGAATTTTAGAATAACCTTTCCAATTCCTTCAATTTTAGAAGTTGTAGAATTGTCCATATAAAGATACTCATTATGATTCGGGGTCTTATATTCAGAGAATAGACCATTATCTGCACAGATGTAACGAGTGGCTCATGTGTCCAACCACCAATCTTTAACATTGGATACCCAGTTAACTTCAGAAATAATAGCAGACATGTTAACGTCTGCAACATTTGTAGAAATATTATCCAATTCGATTATATTAGCTTGGGGCGGTTTCTTTTTCGGTGTATCCTTTTTTTTCCTTCGACGGTCTTTAGCCGAATATGCCTACTTTTCGCAAATATAATAGGTTCCTTTGAACCATTTTGCATTGTTGTTTTTTTCTTTGTCCATAGATAAGCGAGAATGTTTCATTTTCTTGTTCTTAGACCATGAATCTTCCACCATGTTAGCCTATGCTTCCATGTTGCCCACATTATTCTTCTTCTCTGCAGGCCGGTTGTCTTCAATGTGAAGTCGAACAATTAGATCATCCATTGTCATCTCTTTGTGATTATGTTTGAGATAGTTTTTGAGATATTTCCATAGTGGAGGTAATTGCTCGATCATAGCAGCAATCTAGAAAGATTCACTCAAAGTCATACCTTCAACATCAATATCATGAAGTAGAACTTGCATCTCTTGAACTTGACTCATCACTGTCTTTGAATCAGTTATCTTGAAATCCAGAAAGATACTGTCTTATGTTTTTTGTTAAGAGACTCCCACGGTTCCTTAGCCTTTTTGTAGTTACAATACACATCATATAAGGTGTTATCCAATCCTTTGATAATGTAGTTACAACATAAGAAATCTGCATGTTTTCATGCTTCAATGGCTAACTAAGTATTTTTATAAGTAGAATTCTCCGATGTTTGTGCGGAACATTTTTCACTCAGAAATTTTACTAAGTTCAATGTTGTCAAATAGAACAACATCTTCTGTTGCCAAAGCTTAAAGTCTGTGTTACTGAATTTTTCCAATTTCTCATGTTGTGATGTTGGCTGCATGACAAATTGATTGGAACCAGAATTTGGCGCAATCACCGCACTAGTATTATTTTCAATAGTACTAGCCATTTTCTATAAAACCACAATTTCAAAAAATAATCAATCGAAATTTAGAAGAAAAAAAAAATCTGTCTTAAGATTGTTGTCGGAAATTCGACTATCACAATCAAAAGAAGAAATAAAAAGAACAGAAAAGAATTGCAGTAGATGAAGCTAGGTATACCAAATCAAATCTCCTTAAGACAGATTGCGACCCCAATAAAGTGCAAACGGGGATTATGTACGTCTATTTCTCAAGATACAACGTTCATTTCAAACTCGATATTGCATACTACCAACATTGTCGGTCGAATCAAAGAATGAACGTACTTGAATGGAATAGCCATGAATATATTGAATGAAATTCTGCAGAATATGGAGATAGAAGAAATTTAAAAATCAAGAGTATATTAATTGATTGGGTGTCTTCAAAAACGAATTTGGATATCTCTATTAATAGAGATTAAAGTGTCTCATTGAATGAGTGTGTGACATATCATGAACTTGTGCACCACTTGGTCTGATTCGTCTTAGCTATTGGATCACACTATTTCATGATCTGACGGTCCGATTAAATCATGAAGTGTAGTGTCCTTTCATCATACCTATTCACCAGCTATGCAGATGCCATGCGTACACCAACTGCCATGCAAGACGAAGTGATGCCACATGTTGCGTGTGTGTGCCACCTAGGATGCCAACTCATCGAGCCTCCCGTTGCCATGTCATCGAACCATGAGTCCATTTCCGAAAACTATAAAGCTCCCCAACTCTTCGCGACAATCCGTACGTGCGAAGTGCACCTCTAAAGTGCCAAATGCGAACTTTGGTCGAGGTGCCTAGTTTGCTAGCATTATAAATTAACTTTTCTTTTCTTTGATAAATATGAAATTAATAAAAAAAAATGTCGAAATTTTGGAGAACCTCACCATAAAAAACCGTCTGATTCTGCAATCAAGCTTCAAAAAATTGATATTCAAAGGTAATCTTGGTGGAATCGGCATCAATTTATTCGCCTTCCGTCCATAGGTCCTTCGATTATTTATCGCCGAAGCCATGAATCATAACATTTTGAGTGTGTGTTATATGTGTGAATGAGAACGTAGGGAGGGATAGAGAGAATACTCAGTGAATACGAACCATAGAATGGAATTCATGTTGCGGTACAAATCCCGCAATCGTAATGTACAAGTCTTCATTGCAGATCTTTTCCACGCTTATCTGCTGAAATAAATTATATTGCAAATTATGTGCATTGTGCCATCGTCTCCCCAACCTTAAATTCCATTTCAACGACATCTACGGAAAGGGTTTTTGTTTTGGTTACAAGAAATGCTTCTTTGCTCACTTGCAACATCTCAATAATTTTAAGAACATACATTTTGGGATATATCATTCTTCACCGTGCANAAATAAAGTGCAAATGGGATTATGGACGTCTGTCTCCCAAGATACAATGCTCCTTCCAAAGTCGATAATGTACAATACCAACCTTGTCTATCGATTCAGAGAATGATCGTACTCGAACGGAATAACCACAAATATATTTGAAAGAATTTTTGTAAATAGAATTTGGAGAGAGAATGAATTTAGAAATCAATGGTATTTTAATTGATTTGGTGTGTTGAAAAACGAATCTGGAGGTCTTTATTTATAGAGATGTCTTATTGAATGGACGTGTGATATTTCATGAACCGGTGCACCACTTGGTTTGATTCGTCTTAGCTATTAGATCGCACCATTTCATGATCTGACAGCCAAGATTAAACCATGAAGTATAGTATCCATTCATCAAACCTATTCACCAATTTTTGAATAGTCACAAGCCATACAGATGCCACACGTACATCCAACTGAACCAACTGCAATGCAGGACGAAGTGACGCCACATGTTACGTGTGTGCCACCTAGGATGCCAACTCATCGAGCCTCCCGTTGCCATGTCATCGAACCATGAGTCCATTTCCGAAAACTATAAAGCTCCCCAACTCTTCGCGACAATCCGTACGTGCGAAGTGCACCTCTAAAGTGCCAAATGCGAACTTTGGTCGAGGTGCCTAGTTTGCTAGCATTATAAATTAACTTTTCTTTTCTTTGATAAATATGAAATTAATAAAAAAAAATGTCGAAATTTTGGAGAACCTCACCATAAAAAACCGTCTGATTCTGCAATCAAGCTTCAAAAAATTGATATTCAAAGGTAATCTTGGTGGAATCGGCATCAATTTATTCGCCTTCCGTCCATAGGTCCTTCGATTATTTATCGCCGAAGCCATGAATCATAACATTTTGAGTGTGTGTTATATGTGTGAATGAGAACGTAGGGAGGGATAGAGAGAATACTCAGTGAATACGAACCATAGAATGGAATTCATGTTGCGGTACAAATCCCGCAATCGTAATGTACAAGTCTTCATTGCAGATCTTTTCCACGCTTATCTGCTGAAATAAATTATATTGCAAATTATGTGCATTGTGCCATCGTCTCCCCAACCTTAAATTCCATTTCAACGACATCTACGGAAAGGGTTTTTGTTTTGGTTACAAGAAATGCTTCTTTGCTCACTTGCAACATCTCAATAATTTTAAGAACATACATTTTGGGATATATCATTCTTCACCGTGCACAAGAGCTTCGGTTGCCAGCTCCCCTAACATAAGGTCATCAGCTTCCTCAACATTCCGACAATAGACCAGCAACCCCTAACATAAGGTTATCAGCTTCCTCAACATTCCGACACTAGACAAGCAACCCCTAACACAAGGTCATCAGCTTCCTTAACATTCCGACACTAGACAAGCATTAATCTTCGTGCATGATTGTACTACTTTGCGAATATGTACTTAGTTGCTCGGACCTGGTCGCAGCTTTGTGAGGCCACGCTTCTCCCACAAAAGGAATTTCATTTTCAATTTACATGTTGCATCTTGCAAGACCATCTGTTGAAGCCATAAAGGACGAGTTTACCTTTTTCCATGTACTTCGCCCTCATCTTCAGAAAGTAATTGCTCTTCCAGGCCTCAGTCCAAGCTCAATGTGAGCTCAAAGTAACTGTTGAGAGAAATGTACTAGCCTCATACCGATATAGTCGATTCTCACACCAAATGTGCAATCAAAACATACATGACACGCTTAACAAACTGAACTTGTTTTCATAACTATCTGATCTCGTCCGATACTGCATACACACACTTCGCATATGCTTAAAAATTGGAACAACTATGTATCTCATTGGAAAAAAGGATGGCACATTCAAGATATTCAATGCAGTGATTCACCAGACATGATAAGGTTTAATCAACACGTTGCATCAACAAAACCAAAAAATTACTACATTATCGACATATAAGACGTCAAACAAACCAGCAGCAAATGATTCAATAGAAGAATCCATATACATACTGCCTAAGGACCAGCAAAAACCAAAAGCACCCACACCTAAACTTACATCCCCGATGTCCTCAAAAGCTCCTTCTAGTAAAGCATATTACACCACTGTATAAAAAGCTAAGGATTGAATTCACCACATTTCACATAGGAAACTGAGTACAGGAGAACACAAGATCAAGAGAGGGTGCCGTTAAATATTTGAAAACTAAAACCAAATCTCGTGATACCCACAGCTTTAAGCCCTCTTTTTGTCTTTCAATGGTCCTCGGGGAATTTTGCTAAGAACTTTTGCATCTAAAATTGCATACTGCTTCTTAATCTCAATCATTGCTTTCTCTGCAAATGCATCGATTTTGTCATCATACTTCTCATACAGAACAGGTAGTGTATGCAGCAGAACAAACACTGTCCATGGATATCAAATTCATTATGTCAGCATTAAGCGTTACCCGGGGGAAGGGGAAAAAACAAAAAAAAATAGACTACGAGTTCAAAGACAAGAAATTCCTTACATATATAGAACAAAGTCAAGAAGTTGCACCAGCTGCCCACAATTGATAGAACCCACAAGCCAGCCACAACCTAATAAACAAAATTGAATTTCTTCATTATCGATATATCATATC